ATTTTTTTAAATATAGGTTCAAATCTAATAACAATAAACTCTACTCTAAGGATATTGTATATTTTCAGATATTAGCTAATTATAATAGTTTAGTATGTTATTTTGTCATGGCTTGTACCTAGATGTCCCCTCAAAGCCTCATGCACTCATAGGTGGAGCTTTTTGGAGCTGGCAGGGTCTATGGTGTGTGTAATACTGAGATTAAGACTTTGTGGTACAAAATTAGTCCACTGAGAGGGTTAGCATAGTTCTGGATGGAGATAATAGGAAGGCCCACCTTGGGTGTGGGTGGCACCACCCAAAAGGCTGGTAGCCTGGATGGAATAAAAGGGAAAGGGAGGCTTACTGCTGCTGTTGCTGCTTCCTGCCTACCCTACCATAGACTGTTTCTCCTCTGCCTTGCTCCTCTGCCTTGCCCCTCTGCCTTGTCACCCTGGCTTGCAGCCAGCCCGATTTTGTAGTAAAACCTCTAAAAACTGTGAGCTGAATTAAACCTTTCCTCCTTTAACTTGTGGGTGTCAAGTATTTTGTCCTAGCAACAAAAACTAAGACAATTTTATAAATATTTTAAATACTGACCATAAATTTTTACATTATCTTTGCTGACTACATTCTCTGAGAGCTCTTACTCTGTCCTCAAATATCTGAAAGTAGTATCATCATCCTTCAAAGTTCAATTTAGATGTACTGTCATCTGTGACACCTTCCTCTTAACAGTCCGAGAATACAGCTTTCCTGTCTTAGATTCTTCCTGATGTTTACTATCCATGCTATTCCTAGAACACTTAGCATACACTGTCTCGAAATTACTGCTACTGTGAGACAATGCTACTATGTTAATATATCATACATCACTAGACTATTAGGTACAGAAAAATCTAAGTAATACATATGAAGGCTAGGCTCTAACACATCTGTTTTCACAACATCTGGTTTAACCTCTCACGAGAACCCTAAGATAATGTTATAATCCCTATGTTTTTAAGTAAGAAAACAGAGTTCCAGAGATATTAAATGTTTCTAAAAAGCTACAGAATTATCAAGGCTGAGAGGCACAGGTCAAGATCCTGTCTTTCCAACTAAACTAAGTGTAAGATTCTTATTTTGTGTAATTCTAAACCTCATCTACTTTACATCATATAGCCTGATACTTAAATATTACTGACTTTACTGTTCAACTCAACAAAACATTATGACTACCTTCTGTGTCTACTTTAACTTCCATTCTAGCAAGCCATATTTATATCACTAATACACTTTCATATCACTACACCAAAAACAGCTTTTGTAGGTTTTGTCAAAGTCTTCATTTCAGGAACTACTGTAAATAAAGTGATTCTAAAAGCATATCTGCCAATAAGGAAGGATATACCTGCAAAAAGGCAGGGATTCTAGTGCAGCAGTACCCAAACTATTATAATTACTATATAAGTGAAGTGACCTATATTTTTCATACTGCAGACATTGAATAAAATACATAATTAAAGACTGTCAATTAACTATTTGGCCAACTCATTTTGCATATTCAAAACATCATCAGCAAACACAAGGCCCTGGGTTCAATCTCCAGCACCCAAAGCAACAACAAAAACCATCACCAAATGAAAAAGAGGTAAGTTAGGTTTCAATTTAACTTTATATAAATAGCTTCAACCCACATATATTCCTCTGATTACAATTAACTCTGGAAAGTTCTTACTGTGCACCCTGTGGCCAAAGCTGCAGCTCTGAAGCAATCTTCTGCCTTTTTGGTCAAAACTTGAAGTTCTTTCATTGAGGGTGCACGGAAGTAATAGATTAATTCAGAATAAGAGGGAATGATATTGGGTTTTACACCACCATTTTTTATTATACCTATAAAAAGAACCAAATTACTGGAATTAAGCTTGGTGATCATTATTTTAAATTTTAATACACCCATAAAGAAAAATAATATAGATTAGCTTCACAGATATACCAATCAAAGATGTTGATATCTTGTACAAGTTTCTATACAGATAGTGATTATTCCCAGCTAATAGGAAAAAACTGACTATATGTATTTTATCCTAATAAATCTAGATAATGTTAAGAAATTACGATGGAGGTGTGCAATGTAGCTGAGTAATAATATATGAGAGGCCTTGAGTTTGACCCCCAGCACTATAAAAACCCCCACAAAATTATAATCTAGACTATACAGAAACTGTTAGAAATTACATAACTACAGAAAAAGTACTATCTCAAACTTTCTTGAAAAAACTGGTTGTATAGTTTGATAAACTTTGACATAAAAAAACAACCAAGCCAATGTGAGGATGCACCTGGAATCCCAGCACTCAGGCCAGCCTGACTACACAGTAAGACCATGTCTCAAAAAAACAACAAAAAAAAGCTGGGCATGGTTACATATCCCTATAGTCCCAGCACTCTGAGAAGGTGAGGCTGGGGCATTATAGATTCGAGCCCACCCTGGGCAATTTATTAACCATAAAAACTCTGGGTTCAATCCCCAGTACCACCAGTGAAAAAAGTAAACAAAACAAAAAACAAAAAAGAGAAACCCACCAAACAAATCCCCCATGCTGAAAAAACAAAATCCTCCCCAAAAAACAGTGGTATAGGTTTTATAATTACTCTCATACTTTAAGAATCCCATGAATATGTTAAATGGCATCTAGGTTTGGGAAAATAATTTTTATACCAAGAAGAAACCAATGCAGATAAAAGATGACTAGGTTCTATAATCTGGCCCCCCAATCCCACATTTATTTTGAATTACACAGAATGAAGATTTACCCACTGAAAGTATTAACTAGAGATATGAAATCTAATTCTATATGACCTACTTAATAAAATGTCTACTCTAAAAAAATCTTATTTGTTCTTTTTTTTTTTTTTCCAGTACCAGGGACCGAACTTTGGACCTTGCACTTGGGAGGCAGGCTTGGTGCCACTGAGCTAAATCCCTGGCCCTTATTTGTTCCTTTTAAGGAAATTATGACAAGTAGGTAAAAGTCCAATTACAGAATGACTTTAGCCTTCAGCAAAATCAGTTAAAGAAATGATATTTAAGTATAACAGTTTCCTAAATCATAAGGAAATAAACTAAAACATACAATTTGTATCTTGAAGACAGTACTTTATTACTGGGTTTTTTTTTTTAAGTAGTGGGGATCTATTACTGAATTTATATTATGGCGATAAGCATAATTTTAAATGATTTTATTCGGGATTTAACAGCACATGGGTTTTAAATAAAACCAAGAATCATTACATCTTAAACTGAGGAAATGACAAAACCTTGTCATCATTAAGACAGTGGAAAATTAATTCCAACTTTTAAATACCCACAGAAAGAATATAGCCACCTACATAAAGCCTTTTACTATATTACTCCAAAGATATCCATTTGTATTTATGTACAATGGTCCTGTCTTCTTACACATACATAAACACTGGAGTATCTGGTCACATCATTTTCTGAAAATACAGTTAAAATTATAAAAATATTCATATGAAACACAAAAGTTATTTCCAAGTGGTTTTAAAAAAATCTAACATTACATAATTATGTTGCACTGAAATATATTAAACATCATCTATTATACAAAGCATTTGACATTCATACCATGAACTCTCCAGGTTGGTTTAATTTGTTGTCTTAACACAGACAGATTGTTGTAGGCAAGAACAGCAGCGTCCAAGGCATTTACTCCTTCCCAAGGATAAGCAGCAGCATGAGATGCTTTTCCATAGTATTTCACAGTCACACTAAAAAAATCATCTGAAATTACTTTCTCTAGTATGCCTGAAGTAAGAAAATCCAGTTAGGCATGGTGGCACACACCTGTAATCCTAGCACTCAGGAGGCTGAAACAGGAGGATCACTGGAAGTTTGAGGCCAACCTGGGTTATGTAGTGAGTTTAAAGCCAGCTTGAACTACACGTCTCAAAAAAAAAAAACCCTCAGAAGAATTACTGTCATACAAAACTAATTCAGACTGTTGAAATTTTGACTTGCAAATCACTTATAGTAAAAACAATGTAATTTACTTATGTTATAGTTTATTATTTTATTATGTAACAGCGTGCCTGATGCAAAGAAAGCATTCCAGAGAGAAAGGCAATTTTGTTCAATCAACCTTCTGCAGATTAAATATTGCACAAAAGAAGAATCCTGTCTTCTTTTATACTGCATTGTAATGGTTCTTTAAGTCTGCAAAAATTCAGATAATTCTGTCTTACAGAGGAAAGGTCAGAAGACAAAAAGTAACATTTGAAATTAAGACAACAACTGAAAATCAGATTATACTCACAATGCTATCCAGGTTCTATATTTTGGCTCACGACATAGTTTATCCTCTTTGTTGAGAGGCAAGTGGCGGAACCACTGAGGTAAATCTCTAGCGATTTTTTTTTTTTGGTACCAAGGATAGAACTCAGGACCTTGTGCTTTTGAGGCAGGGGGTGGCACCACTGAGCTAAATTCCCGGCCCTCATCCTCTTTGTTGGGACCAAATTGAAATAAATAAAATGGAGATGTGTGTTTTCTTCCCAACAGTTTCTTGCACATCTTTTCAGTCAAAAAGCCAATTTCATTTCAAAGGACAGATTATTTTCTAAAAACCATATTATTCTCAGAGTTCAAAATTGAAAATGAATGTCAATATTTTTTGTTTTTTAATTTTTGTTTTATTTATTTTTGGCAGTACCAGGGATTGAACCCATGGCCTTCACACTGAGCTATATCCCCAGCCCTTTTATCTTGAGACAGGGGCTCACTAGTGCCCAGGGGGCTCACTTTCAATCCACCTGACTCAGCCTCCCAGTGTACTCAGATTACAGGTGTATGCCACCATGCCCAGATAACTACATTATTCCTATGTATTAAGGTATTGTTTTAATAGTCCACTATGAACACTGTAATTAATCTCAATTAAAAGAGCTTGTCAAAAGTCATCCAATATAAGTCAAGATACCATCTCATTATCTTTCAACTTACTTTTTTTGTTGTTTTTTTTGATACAGGGTCTCCTAAAATTGCCCAGGTTAGTCTTGAATTCATGAGCTCAAGTAATCTTCCCACTTCCTGAGTAGCTCAGACTAGAAGCACATACTACTGTACCAAACTCGATTTACTTTTTAAATGCATAAATGTGAAAGTTTAATCTCTGATTTAGACATAGAAGACATAGCCTGTTTTCCACTAAGAAGTTCATCTTCAACTTGCTTACTTACTCATGTTCAGCCACATCCAGGAGATAAGCAGCATTCTCTTGGGATGGATGGGCCATAAAAACAACATCAAGGTTTTTAAAAGCACCGGCTTCAATTAAATCAATTTTGCCACCACCATCTTCTTCTGCAGGGGTTCCCAAGACAATTACCTAGAAAGAAATATCTATATCAGAGCAAAACAACCAAAGTCCTAGTAGGAAAATATCAAACAGGTTCCCTAGCATATGCATTCACAATCTACAACAAAGCCTGTAAACTATGGAGAGAGATTTTGTCCTATGCTTATACAGTTGGTGTACATATATAATCCTAAAACACAAAATTTAATTTACATTGTTATACTAATTTGGTGCTAAGAATGAACTGGAAAATTTCCCCAATTTTTTTTTTTTTTTGGTACCCAGGATTGAACTCAGGCCCTTGTGCTTAGTTAGCTAAATCCCCAACCCTATTTCCCCAATTTTTAACAACAAAATTAAAAAAAAAAAAGGAATATCACATCCTTAGTTTCTCAAAATTTGTTAGGACTTATTCCTTAAGGCTTCTTCATGGCTAAGCTATTTAGTATTTGTACGTAATTATTTGTATTTTATTGGTAAGGAACTTTCCAGGGACTTATTAGTTATCCTCACAACAACCCTGTGAGGTAGGTGAGTGATAAGTTTTAAGAAGGGTCATTTTGAGAAAGAGTGAAATGTCATGCTCCAGGTCACAGAACAATTCTTCAGGCAGAACTGAGATTATTTTGCATAGACTATCTTGACCTTCAGGCCTGAACTACCTACTTTAAAAATCTTAATTCATTAATCCTTTATGAAGAGCATCAAACAAATCTTAATACCATGGTTAGAAATGGCCAACTGTTACATAAACTTACTAATTCGATTCCACCAGTTCAATCAGGCAGATTTACTGGTCACCAAACACCTAATTAAACAAAAGAGAACTTTACAGAATAAACATTTTACTTTGATATTTAAACTTAACTTCTTCAAACAGTTTAAAAAGCAAAGATAAATATGTATAAACAACTAAAACACAATGAAATAAACTAAAAGTGTCTTAGCTTGTAATGAGAATCAACATAAATTCCATTTTTAGGTAAAACAGTTTACCTTGATAAAACTGAGAACAGCCACTTGAAATTAGAAGTTGTTGCAGTTCTCAAAAGTCCAACTTTCTTTATAAGTTACACCCAAACTCTTAAATTAAACCGCTCTTTATCTTTGACTTATTAAGGGTTCCAGAGGACAGCTCAGAACCTTTATAAACCTGGTTAAAGGTAAATCCAGGTTTTCAGCCAATGGGAAAGGACCTTTCCCCTCCCTAAAACAAAGACCTAACCAAATCCAAAAACAAACCCCCGGAGGCAGAAAAGAGAACACATCCTAAGAGAAAAAGCCACAAGAATTGGAACTGTTAGAATAAAAGAGAAAAATTACTGACATTGGAAAAAATGGGCTAAAGAATATTAAAACATTTGTCTTCCCTTTAACCTGAGTGATGATGAAAGTATCACAGAATGAAGAATACATCATCTGGAAAAAGAGTAACACAAGATGAAACTTGCCTATGACAAACATAAATGATATTCCCCTGTTGAAAGAATCCAGATATTAAAACCGTAAAATAAGAAATTAAGACTTAACGATGAACTCATCATTGCAGTACACGTTTATTAGCTTTCCGGTTATGTGTCTACTTCTAGAGGTTTGGTGGTTCCAGCGACCGAAAACTTCCTATCCAACTAACGATTACTCAAATTACAATACCTCCTTGGACTGCCACAAACCAAAGATTCTGGGGAGTCTGTAAAGAGTAGTTGTAGGGTTTCCCACTTCTTCCAGATTTTACACAACCTTGTCAGCAAACTACAGTTGCTATCAGTTACCTAAAATGACCCATAAGGAAAACTGGGCTTGGTTCTAAGTTCTTTCCTAAGGAAGAGTTCAATTAGTTGTTTACAAATTCAAAGAAGAAAGAAGCCTGCAGAACGCACCCGGGGTGGGGGTGGGGGGCGGGCAGCAAGCGAGCCGGCAGTGGCTCGCGGCCGCCCGCGAGACTCGTCCCTGCACCTGCCTGGCCCGCGCCCTGGCCCCACCTCACCTTCACTGGCGGCGGCCCGGGGAGGCTCTCCAGGGCAGCCCTCAGGCCCAGCGCGGCCGCCGCCCCGACCTCGGCGATGAGGTTGTGGCCGCAGGCGTGGCCGATGCCGGGCAGCGCGTCGTACTCACAGAGGAAGCCCAGCTGCAGGGCGCGCGCTTCAGCGCCCGGCGTGCGGCTCCCGGGCGGCGCCCACTCGGCGCGGAAGGCCGTAGGCAGCTTGTAGTGCCGCTGCACCGCCCAGGACGCGGCCGGCGGCTCCTGCTCGAAGAAGCTCGTCAGCACGCCATGGGCATGGTGCTCCTCGTAGGCCAGCTCGGGCTCGCTCCAGATGGCGCGGCTCAGGGCCCGCAGCCGCTCGGCTGCCTCGTCGATGCGCTCCGCCGCGCGCAGCTTCAGCGGCTCCAACAGCTCCAACTCGGAGACGCCATCGCGTGCGTCACCCTCCAAGGGCCGCTCCTCTCCAGGTCTCATCCCGACGTACCTCTCAGCTCTAAGCTCGCTAGCTCTGGCAGGTGGCGGCCCACTTCGCCCGTCCACACCGCCGCCGGCCCAGAGAACTACGGAGGAGCAAGCCGGCCCCAGCTGCAAGTCTCCCGGGAGCTCCGCCCCAGAACCCTGGAGCCCCGCCCCTCGGCGTTCCTCTTTTACTCTCTTGGGTCTCCTTGGCTGTCCTGGCTATTGAATTATGCTCCAAAATCATTATTACTTTTCCATTGCTGCTTATTTTCCCCAGAAGCAGGAGAACAGTTTTATTGGTTAATAGCCATCAGAAACAGGCCAACTGGAGCACTGTCCTCTGAAACATGCCTCTTATCTAGTTCTAATGATTTTTTTTTTTTAAATGGTACAATGCGGGTTGTGGTGGTGCACAGCTGTAATCCCAACATTTGGAAAGCTGAGGCAGAAGGACCAAGAGTTCCAGGCCAGCCTGGGTTACATAGAAAGATCCTATTTCAAACAACTATAATAACAAAAACAAAGCAAAAATTGTATGGGGTAACTTCTAAAAGAGCGTCAACAGAAATGCTATACAAAGAACACTATAGCATCACACATTTAAGTTTTTGGTACTACCCCTCCTTTCTTTTCCTTGAGGTTGTGCTATTCAAAAGCTGTAACAACAACAACAACAACAACAACAACAACAACTACTACTACTACTACTACTACTACTACTACTACTACTACTTACTGCCGGGGATTTAGCTCAGTGGTTTCTGCGCAAGCGCAAGGACCCAAGTTCGATCCCTGGTACCAACAACAACAACAAAAGCTGTAACTACTTTATATATTTTTATCATTAGAATAAACTAACATCTAAAATAGCACCTGTGTGTTGGCTATATTACAGTTCATCTGAATAGAGTGGAACTGAGAATTTGAAATGTTAAAAAAATAAGAAAGTTAAAATATTTATGGCAATATTCATACGATTTTGTTGATGTGGACACTTGTTTTGAATAGGATCAGCTTTGAAAGGTAACATGACTAGGCTTGTTTACAATTTTAATTGATGCTGAATTCAAGTAACATGATATGTACAGCTGGTGTTCACATTATAACTAGGTTTTAAATTACCCAGTGAAGAAATCAAGATGTCATACTCTTTTTTTTCTCCACAGTGTAACATAATGTCCAAAAAACTGTTGTTGATTATATGCCTATTAATAACACTGTGGAGATTTATAGTCTGAGGTTTTCCCCTTAGTTTTCAACTATTCCTACTCTACCGTCTCTTTTTTTTAGTTAGATTAAGACAAAATATATTAATGTAAAAAGCCAAATGTAACTTTTGAAAAGAAGTCTGTAGGAAGCTATCATACAGGAAAACTATCAACTATTGTTTTTGCTATTTTATATGTTAACATTGCCAGATTGTTATTTTCTAACATTAATTGAAAATTAATATGATTCTCAGCACCCTAACTGAAACTCAGCCCTAAAGACAACAAATGTGGTATTTAATTCCTGGACCCCCACAGCTGTACTTAGTAAACCTTCTCTGGTATGTTTCTGACAAAAATTCTCCCGTGTCTATAAGATTCAATATTATTGTGCTTAGTTGACTAAAAGCCCTATTAGAGTGAAAACAATAGATGACATTTGTATAGCATTTCCTCTGTGCCAGGCACTGTTCCAAATGCTTTACTATTAATGCGTTTAATCATCACAATCTATGAGGTTGTTAATGTGATTATTTATCTTCACTTTACAGATGAGTGTCTGAGATTACACAGCTAGTAAGCAGTGGATCCAGTGTTACAGAGAAGCCAAACTCTAGCCACCACACTCAACTGCTTGTGTAAACAGACATTCAAATTCATAAATGTATCTACAGCTCATCTATTCATATAAGACTTACAATAATCACTCATCTTGGATAAATTGTACTGCAGCAACTCTCCCTCATCAGTAGAACCCATGTTTATTCTTATTAGACAGCAATAGAAAAGGAGTACATAAAAATTTTATATACAAATTGCTATTTCTATTATTTGTCATAAATTAACAAAGCTATCACTTGATATTATAGTTTAGATCTAAAATAGCCTCCAAGCTTCATGTGTTTGGAAGATGATTGTATTATCAGGGCATTATAGTTGCTCACTATTAGGAAGTAGGATTTGGTTGGAAGAGGCAGGTCACTGGGGGCATGACCTGAAAAGATGTATCTCCCTTCTTGTCTCCTTCCTTTGCTCTCTGCTTCTTGTACACCATGTGGTGAACAGACTCCATTGGCAGTTGGACTCCAGACCATGTGTGCTATGCTCTGGCAGAAAATTTGTCTTTATTTTGCTCCTGTCCTGGAACTTTGTAGGAGACTGAGATTAAGGGTAGTGAATTTATTAATCTGGTGGAGGAAATTTCAAATATTCAGGCTGCAGCGTGGTTACTGCTTGCTACTTTTAGTGAGATCTACTGTGAGAAGCAGTGGGTGAGATGAGGTGAGTAGAGATAGTTCTCACTTGAGGTCTGGTTTTAAAATATAAAGATGCTTCTTCTTCCCTGGCTGCCAAAAAACAAAAACAAAACCCAGCTGCTATCACAACTGACTTAATGTTGAAACAAGAAATTCATGACAAATTAGTGCTTTGGTAGAAAGAGTCGAGAAAAAATTTACTTTACCATGAGAAAGCAATATTATTCATGGGTGAAATACTACCCAGATTGTATAAGACTATACTGCATGTTATTTTAGCCTTCAGATTTAGATTTTCTTGTAATAAGACAACATGCTTTGGCATGATTTATAATTTTTGACTTAAGATAAAAATAATAATAAATAAATTTCCAACACAGTCCAACAAACATAACCTAAATGTCTTTTGAGAACACAGAAAAAGGAATTCAATGAAAAAAAAATAAAATGAGGGCCAGGGATTTAGCTCAGTGGTTCCGGCACTGGCCTCGCAAGTGCAAAGTCCAGAGTTCGATCCCCGGTACCAAAAAAATGAAGAAAATTAAGGGTAGAGTTAAAGTAACTAGAAATACGGGAGAGAAAAGTAATAAAAGGTGATAAAATGCTGTGACATTTGCATGCAGATATTTCACCAGAAAACAAATAAAAGCAAAAATACCTAGAAGGCCTTTGCTTCTATTGGATAAGGTTCTGTTACAACTGGTTTTCAAGTTCTGTGTAGATTGGCTCAAGTGGCCATGAAATGCCGGCAGCTATTTTAAAGCACTGACCTGGTATTCAGTGACTTGAGGCTCCCTTTGGCTTCCTTCCCTCCTGCCAGTGAGATTAGTTGCTCTGCTCTCCATAACCATTCCTGGAAATGAAGACAGCAAGGTTCTCTCAGGGGACAGGCCTCTTGTTTGCCAATTCTCCACCACGGCCTGTATACAACACTACAAAGACATACATAGCCCAGACTGTGGTGGACAAGAACTTTTCCCCCCTAAAGTTACAGTTTAGGGAAATGAGTGGAGAAGTTTCACTGCTCCCTAGCCCCTACTGGCACAGTGCACATCTAGAGCCTGGGCCCAATGCAGTGCTTGAAGGTCTTCCAAGAGATTTCTGCAGTGATTTCTCAAGCAATGTATAAGAGACATTATCGAAAATCCTGGCCATGGGTCTTGTCCTCCTGGGAGCCAGTACGATGTCTGTGAGACTGGAAAGAGGAAAATAAAGACACAGAGACAGAAACTTGAGAGTAACTGAGTCTTGGGCTGATCTAAGCTACTCTGGGCAGTAAAGACAAAGACACCAAAGACTTCCAGTGTTTTTTGTTTTTTTCCTTAAATTCTTTTATTGGTACATTTTAGGTATACAATACATTTATATTTATCATTGGGTACTTGTACCTTTACATGATGTATCTTGGTTCTTATTTTTTCCCCATTCTCCTGCTCTCCCTTCAACCCCTCCATCCCTGTCTATTTAGAAAGACTGTTTACATTTTTTCCTTTTCTCATATTTTTTCCTTTCCCTTCTTTCCTTTCCCCTACCCCTCCAACTTCCAGTTTAAAGCAGCCTGCTGCATACATGAAATATCCTTGAAACTCAATTTATTATTCAAATTAACTATCAAATGTACTTTTTAGTCATAATTCTTTTTTTTTTTTTTTTTTTTTTTGGATTGAACTTGGGTCCTTGCACTTGTGAGGCAGGTGGTGAAACCACTGAGCTAAATCCCCACCCTCAAATATACTTTTTAGTAAGAATATATCATGTTTAGGGCTGGGGATTTAACTCAGTGGTGCCGCTGCCTGCTTCACAAGCACAAGGTCCCA